CGGCCAAAACCCATTGGGCTTCCAAAATTGGGTCTTATGACACTTAAACCATAATATTTAGGTGTCTTAAGCCCTTGGGCTTGATACCCAACCATTTGGGCTTCTTGTTAACTATTACCGAGGCCCAAATACGTTTTTACACGTAGTAAATCATCCACATCAAATCAATCAAATTGATTTCCTCATTCTCATTTGTATTACTCAAAGTTAACCATTTAAGGTGTCTTAAGCCCTTGGGCTTGATACCCAACCATTTGGGCTTCCTGTTAACTATTACCGAGGCCCAAATACGTTTTTACACGTAGTAAATCATCCACATCAAATCAATCAAATTGATTTCCTCATTCTCATTTGTATTACTCAAAGTTAACCATTTAAGGTGTGCGATCCATTATGTTCTAATTAGCAAGGTAGTGGGAAAATATTAGAACTCTTTCTAACCAACTGGAATTAAAACCCCTTTCTAATTCTTCCTTTATTTGGATCGATCACAATCAATCCTAGGACTTCCACAAGCCAAGAGTGACATCTAGCAATATATCAAGGCTACCCGAGCTAACCAGAATAGATGAAGAACCTATTCAGTTGGAATTGCAATGCAATATGGTCCTTCTCTTATACAATGTTTCAAATCATATTATTAGGGTACAGATTGTTTATGTCAAACCCCTAATATGATTTATAACCTCATGTGATTCAAAAGAACATGATTAAGAATAACTTTCTAAATCAAGCTCAAAATATTTTGGCCAAAAATTTACTGAATCACATCTTGAAACATTCTCCTTCTTTATCGAAAGTAGAGATTCCTTATTGTACATTCACATGCCCCTATGATGAATTAAAAGATCCCAACAACACTTAAGACAAATCTTTTACGGCTTGCCTTTAAGAGCTATCAAAGATCAATAACGCATCACAGGACAACCATGATGCCTTAGGTCTAAGGACTAATTTGCATTATTGCAACTATGAGTTCTCGTTTGACATATAGATAAATACTCCATACGAGAACTATGGTTGATCGCGTTCAGTGTACTCATTCACTAATGAGCACCCACATACTTGTATTAGTGTCAACTACACAAATGGTTTGAGACTAACCATCCTCCCAATTGAGCATACATAATATGTGCTAATCTTGACGGTTTATCAATGCCCATTTGATAACCTATATGATTAGGAACATTTTGGGATGCTATAGTTGGAGATTAAAGGTCTCCCGAATCTAATCTTCTTTAGATTACTTTATCTGTTATTTAGCATACCCTGGACATTTGTTTCTTTAGATGATGTAAAAGATAACAAATAAGTTTGCCCTTTATATATCATATACGAAATGTATTCTAAGGAGATTACATCAAATGTATTGGCTCTTAGGGCACATTTCTAACAGTCTCCACAAAGAATTTCCTATACTAGGCAAGAATCAAGTCCTTGAGAGACAAAAAATATATACAGCAAATCTATTAAATAAATACAAATAAAATAGGAAACTAAATCACGTCTCATTACACAAGACATAAAAAACAAGTCCAAATATTCCCAATGCACTTTTGCAATGAGCAGGCCAAGACATATCTCTATGTTAATTACTTTGACATATGTCCTGCATCAGGCATGTACAAACAATCCACTTTTGTTGGCAAACATGATTTAACAACTGCATGAACATTATTACCTAACCACAACAGAGAGATTTTATGAAAATTTAAAGAAGAGGCTCATAAATATTTGTTCAGGGCTGTACTGCTCCTCTATCTCCAAGTTCAAAGCTCAAAATGAGTCAAGGCAGAGGTCCCATCAAGGCCTTTGTCATTGAAGTGGGCATTATATTCCCTTATAGTTGTCTCCCTGTACTTTGGAGGGTTGTCTTCTGACAATAGTTCTTTGATAGGTCCATAGAGTCTCCCCAATGGTTGCATACCTGTGGTAAAGAAACTTGCAACCGATACTCTTGGACCTACACGGTTCGCCAGTACCCTGTGCTCTACGCTCTTGAATCTTTCATTTGATATAAGCTGCAACCCCAAAAGAACTCAACCATTGAAAAAAAAATTAAAAAAAAATATAAAAAAACCCAAATGAGGAAACCAGAAGAAGAAGAATAGTTGTACTTGCCTGTAGAAGATCTCCAATGTTAACTACTAGAGCATCAGGAACAGGAGGTACATCAATCCAGTTGTTCTGATGAAGAACTTGGAGACCGCCAATATGATCTTGCAGAAGGACTGTGATAAAGTCACTGTCAGCGTGCTTGCTTGTCCCCAGAGTTAACTCTGGCTGTGGACATGAGGGATAGTAATGGCCTACAAGCACAAGCCCTAAACTACAATCTATGTCATTCAAGTGACTTGGCTTTAGCCCAAGAGCCTCCGACAGCAACTCGAACAACAACTTCCCCAGTTTCGTTACTTGCTTGGAGTACTCAATAAGTATGTATCTACAAATGTTGAAACACAGAAAAGCACATGAAGTTGTCATATATATATATATATATGATTCAATTAAAAATTGTAGAGCCAGGCATTTAACCAAAATGGTGAGCTGAACGGATTTTGATTTATGTTTAGAAAAGGCAAATGGCCTACTGTCAGATGTCACCTACTTGGATTAAGCTCATTCTTATTTAAAATATGGGATTCTTGTTTGGGACATTCTACCCCTCCCGGACACGATACAGAGCTTCGTCACAGGCCATAACAGATAAGGAACTAGGCCTGCTCTAATACCACTTGTCATGGGCTAGCTAGGTGTGCTTGCCACTCAGCACAAAAATACCATTTGTTTGGTGATGCTGTCTACCCATATATATAAACCCAGATGGGTGATTCGTATCCGAAGGGAGATCAATGTACATCAAACTTTTCATTAAGTTGGACAAAGTATATCATATCATCTAATTAACCCATCAAGAAGGTTGGAATCCGAATCAAATTAATTAATACCATCATAAACTTTCTAATGATAGCAGAGAATTATAAGTTTCCTTGTCACATACCTGAATACTTCTGGCATGTCTTCTGGCTTAGTAGGATTAGGAGCCATGTAGCACATAAAAGTATCCCTCCAATTGGACGCTGGTGCTCTGTGTAGATCAAAGTTGCTATTGTAGACCACAGGTTTGAAGTGATCACGAGTGTAAAACTGTTTCTTCACTTCAGTGTCTTGCTCATAAAACCCACGTACCCCATCCTTTATCTCCTCCAAAACATCAATAGGTATTCCGTGATTCACAATTTGAAAAAATCCCCAAGTCTCTGATGCCTCTCCAACTTTTGTAACAATCTCCTTGCGATTCGTTGGTCTATCGAACTCAAGGCCTTCAAGGTCTATGACTGGAACGCAAAACTGGGTGGCTTCTGAATCAAAGTTGTTGTTGATGGAGTACTGATCTGGTGGTTGATGAAAAATTCTAGGAACCACAGTGATCCCAGAATCAACAAGGCCTTTAACACCTTCCTTGGTGTCATCAAAAGCTTTTAGTTCACTTTTTCTGTCATAATTGGTTGGAACCTCATTTGTATTGGTACCTACCATCTTGGTTTCTGCTAAATCTTAATGTTCTAGTGGATATCAGATCAGAAGTGTATCTTTTAGCAAAGAAGATCACTTTGCAATGAGTGAAGTGGGAAGAAAACAATATTTTTGCAAAGACCATAGGCCAAGGATGATGCCAAAGTACTTTATAATATATTAGCAGAGTTGTGTTTTTCACATTAATATATTCATTTTGGGTTGACAATTCAGAGTACAGACAGATAATATTATACAATTCAACTTTCTTATACGGAAATATGATGTTGATTATAAAATTTTAATAACAGGTCTATGTTTGATCCTAAGGACTTCAATGCTTCAAGTTTCCATAAAGCACTCCTATTCGTATATTATAAACAACTAATAACAGGTATAGACAAATAATGCTCAGAATTCTGCTTTTGTTGTTGGCAAGCATGACTTTACCAGTGCATGAAGGTTTTTATCCAACCACAACAGAGAGATTATATGGAAGTCTGTAAAGAGAGCTGAAAACCTTTGCAACTTATTGGAAAGCCATAATATTTCACAACAGATTATAAACAACCAATGTACTATAACCATAACTTTGACTATATGTCCTGCATCGTTCTATGATTCTAGCATCTACAAGGAGGAATTTGTCAATTTGCCTCCTGAATTTTACGGTAAGTATGGCTTGGCTCCTTAAATGAGATGTGAAAAATACTTAACGGGGATGAGGATGAAAATAGCGTACCCAACCCATTGCCATAAATTTTGGGACCCCAAAACTCAAAAATCCACTTCAAATGTCCTTGCCAAAATTTACCAAATAAAATATCATGCTGATCGCATCAATATCAATCAACCTATGTGTTGCTTTAAGCATTACCAAAAAATTTAGGTGGAGAAGAGGAAAGGTCAAAAGCTTGAACATCACAAGTGGGGTTACAAAAACAACTTTATGATTACATAACCATAGATATATTTAATGGTTCTACCTACTAATAATCAAGACAGGTAGATATTACAGAAAGAAATTAATATAATAGAAAATTAGTAAAATACCCATTTCTAGACATAAAACTATAAATATACCCTATACTATTTACTGCATATAAACACACCCAAAATAAACCCAAAAATTGACAACTGTCGATTTTTTAAATTTAATAGCAATGTTGGATTATTATTTTAGAAAATTAGTAAAATACACGTCAAAAGCTTGAACATCACAAGTGGGGTTACAAAAACAACTTTATGATTACATAACCATAGATATATTTAATGGTTCTACCTACTAATAATCAAGACAGGTAGATATTACAGAAAGAAATTAATATAATAGAAAATTAGTAAAATACCCATTTCTAGACATAAAACTATAAATATACCCTATACTATTTACTGCATATAAACACACCCAAAATAAACCCAAAAATTGACAACTGTAGATTTTTTAAATTTAATAGCAATGTTGGATTATTATTTTGCCCTTTTGCCCAAAATAAACCCAGCTCTGAGGCTCAATTAAGATAATCGACGATTGCTCCTTCAAAATCTCAGAGCTGGTCTGTGAGATCTCTCACTCACTTTCTCACAGATCTTGCAGCTATTTCCAGATCTCATAGCTCAATCGCATCTCGCATCTCAGTCACAGGCAAGGTCGTTTTACAACTCAGGAGGTGGACTCGGGTCCTGATCCATGAGGCCGACTCTTTCCTCCACCACCGAATCGAAGATCATCAACGACCGTGAGACCGAGAGGTCCAGGCACTTCGGCTTCGTCACCTTCAACAACGATAAGGCCATGAAGGACGCAATCGAAGGCATAAACGGCCAGAACCTCGACGGCCATAACATCACCGTCAACGAGGCCCAATCTCGTGTTGCAGACAACAATGGATTTCTCGGTAAAAATTAAAATGGGCGAATTTTCATTTCTCAGTGTTTATGCTTAATTTTTTATTTTTTGATTAATTAAGCAGGGGATTGAGACAAAGATTGAGTTCTTTATCATCGGGCGACTGGATCTGCAAGGCATTTATATCGTTTGTGGCGATCATAGAGGTGTTGATTTTTGCTATGACCGATTGCTTCAGCGACCATCCCTGCCCAACCAAACGCAGTTTTGCATTCGACGATATGTCTATCCTCTCCGATAAAACCATATGTATGAATTTTTATTTATTTAAAATATTCAGAAGATTAAGAAAACTATATATATATATGCAGAACTTTGAATTGTGAATTATTTCCTTCTGCTTTGGGAATTTTGGGAAAAAAAGAAGAAGAAGAAATAAATGATTAGTTAATAAGAATTTTGAATGTTGTTTGTGATGTTTACTTGCATGAAATCATGATGCAATTACTGTTAATGAGCTGGAGGTATTGTAGGAGCTATTTAAAAAGCTGAGTAATTCAATTATTGACTACATATAGATTCATAAGGTCAGCCAAATTTCTTTGAATCATTCAAATTCAATTATGAAGAAATCTGTTGTTTCTTTCTAGTTTCATGCATTGTAGTAATTATTTGAATGATGATTTTGTTGCAGGAAGAGTTTCAACTAGCACTATTCCCTATGGTGAAAATCTTTTCCTGGACAGGGTATATGCTTCATACCAACATCTTGAACTAATTGACTAGGATATATATATATATTATTCCCTGCACCTACTTACGCGAACTGTATTTTGCTTTTCCAGGTTTTTGATCTCTTTGATGAAAAGAAATGGTGTCTTTGAATTTGATGAGTTTGTTCATGCACTCAATGTCTTCCATCCATATGCCCATACAGATAATAAAATTGATTGTAAGTCTTACTGTTATAAGAGGCAAAGCTAAATGTTGTGTGTGTCTTTCTTGTTATCTTATATTGTTTGTTAATTACTTGCAGTTGCATTTAGGCTCTATGATCTAAGACAAACCGGGTTCATTGAGCGAGAAGAAGTGAGTCTTGTACTACTTTTTTACTGTCTAAATCTCCAAGGAAATTTATGTTTTTATGGGTATTTTCACGTTTGATACCTTGTATGAACATGAACACGATATTTAAATTAAGCAGCCTCTGTTTGGTTTCAGGTTAAGCAAATGGTGATTGCCATAATGATGGAATCTGACTTGAAATTGTCAGAGATCTTCTTGAGTCTATCATTGATAATGTAAGCACTACGTAGTTGTGTAAGTTTGGATGTTGTTTTACTAGGTGGTAATCAGAGCTTCTGGAGAATTTAGTACTCACGACATCTTCTATGACATAGTATTAACAGTGTACTTCTATTACATAGTATTAACAGTGTACTTCTATTACATAGTATTAACAGTGTACTTTTTTTCTTTCTTGTAGAGGTATTTCCTTTTGCCTTTGTGATTATATGTGGTGAAACTTTGGACAATTAGAGGTGGTTCCTGCAAAAGATGTTGGATGTCTTGCTGGGTTTTTTTAAATTTTTTGTATGAAATGGTATTGACAATGTACTTCTATGAAATAATATTAACAATGTACTTCTATGACATGGTATTAACAGTGTACTTCTATAACATGGTATTAAAAATGTATTTCTATGAAATGGTATTAACAATGTACTTCTATGAAATGGTATTAACAATGTGCTTCTATGACATGGTATTAACAGTGTACTTCTATAACATGGTATTAACAATGTACTTCTATGAAATGATATTAACAATGTGCTTCTATGAAATGGTATTAACAGTGTACTAAGGTTCGATGGAGAAGGGTCGCAAGGAAAGCTCCTTGATTTTCGCGATATTTTTTTTTTAATTTGGGTTTTTGAAAAAAATTTGGGTTGGGCTTGTTTTGAGTTTTTTTTGAGTTTTTTGTGTTGGGCTTGTTTTAAGTTAATTAATGGTAGAGATGTAATTTATAGGAACTTCAACACTCATTTATTATGTAGTAAATGGTTTTTGGGTATGTTTATAAAGTGCATTCCATGTGGAGTTTTTTTTATAATTTCAGCCCCTATTTTGGGTATATTACTAAAGATCCCTTAATATAATCACCATCACCACCCAAGGACTAATATTTGGTCAAACATAAACTTGCTCAAGCTGAACATCTTTAGCAGTCAAAGGAACATAGTCTCCTAAATAAACCTCCAGATGATCTGACCATACAATTATCTAACCATAATATTTCACAACAGATTATAAACAACCAACGTACTATAACCATACAATTATCTAACTTTATAGCTTTGACTTTATGTCCTGCATCAGGCATCAACAAACAATCAACTTAGTATTGTGTATGAAGCAATATTTTCATGCCTAGTTATTTAGTAGACACCATTTGTTCATTGCAGTTGCTCCTATGCCTCCAAGTTCAGAGCTTGAAATGAGTCAAGGCAGAGGTCCCATCAAGGCCTTTGTTATAGAAGTGAGCATTATATTCCTTCACAGTTGTCTCCCTGTACTTTGGAAGATTGTCTTCTGATAGCAACTCCTTAATGGGTCCATAGATTTGTGGCAATGCTAAAAAACCTGTGGTCAATAATGGGTCCATAGATTTGTGGCAATGCTAAAAAACCTGTGTTAAAGAAACTCGCAACAGATACTCTTGGACCGCCGGCACGATTTGCCAATACCCTGTGTTCTACACTCCTGAATCTGTCATTTGATATAAGCTGAAAGTCCAAAAGAATTCAATATCAGAAAACCCAAACTAGGAAACTAAATTGAAGAATTTGAGCCATATTCTAATGACTATAACAGAGGGACGGTGGGAAGCCCTATGCGAAAACTAAAATGAGGCCATGCTACTACACTGCCGAAACTTTTCTCAAATTTTAAACAACAAGACATTATAAAATAGATTAAAAAAAAATTCCCTGTCCCGGGATATATCCTGGTTTATGAAAGTTTTCCTCACATTCTGGACAACCTAATACATGTGTTCAATCATAATGTAATAGTAACTTTTTAATTAAAAACAACCCAACTGTATCTCCTACAAAATATAAAAGAGGAATAAGAATTATAGTTATACTTGCCTGTAGAAGATCTCCAATGTTAACCACTAGAGCCCCAGGCACAGGAAGTACATCAATCCACTTGTTCTGATGAAGAACTTGAAGACCACCAATATGATCTTGCAGAAGGACTGTGATAAAGTCACTGTCAGCGTGCTTGCTTGCGCCCAAAGTTAACTCTGGCTGTGGACAGGGGGGATAGTAATGGCCTAGAACCTGAAGCCCTAAACTACAATCCATGTCATTCAAGTGACTTGGCTTCAGCCCAAGCGCCTCAGACAGTAACTCGAACAACAACTTCCCCAACTTCATTACTTGCTTGGAGTACTCAACAAGTATGTCTCTACAAAATTGAAACCCAGAAAAACTAAGGCTCCGTTTGGATGGAGGGATTTGAAAGAAGGGATTTAGATTTAACAAAGCTAAATTTGCTTAAAAAAAACAAGAACCACATTAGATTGAATGTATTCTAAATAACTAGACATTTGAAATGACTATATGGAAGGAATCATTTGAAATCCACTTATTTTCTTCCTTTCTTTCTTGTTCAAATCTTGGCATATATGGATTGTAATAGTCTATACAAACAATTTTACCTTATAAAAAAAATGTCATCTAAATTCATAGATTCGAAATCCCTCCATGGAAATGGAGCCTAATATCATATTAAACCAGAAAATTATGAGCTTCCTTGTCACATACCTGCATACTTGTGGCAAGTCTTCTGGCTTAGGAGGTACCCCATCCTTTATCTCCTCCAAAACATCAATAGGTATTCCGTGATTCACAATTTGAAAAAATCCCCAAGTCTCTGATGCCTCTCCAACTTTTGTAACAATCTCCTTGCGTTTTGTTGGTCTATCGAACTCAAGGCCTTCAAGGTCTATGACTGGAACGCTAAACTGGGTGGCTTCTGAATCAAAGTTGTTGTTGATGGAGTACTGATCTGGTGGTTGATGAAAAATTCTAGGAACCACAGTGATCCCAGAATCAACAAGGCCTTTAACACCTTCCTTGGTGTCATCAAAAGCTTTTAGTTCACTTTTTCTGTCATAATTGGTTGGAACCTCATTTGTATTGGTACCTACCATCTTGGTTTCTGCTAAATCTTAATGTTCTAGTGGATATCAGATCAGAAGTGTATCTTTTAGCAAAGAAGATCACTTTGCAATGAGTGAAGTGGGAAGAAAACAATATTTTTGCAAAGACCATAGGCCAAGGATGATGCCAAAGTACTTTATAATATATTAGCAGAGTTGTGTTTTTCACATTAATATATTCATTTTGGGTTGACAATTCAGAGTACAGACAGATAATATTATACAATTCAACTTTCTTATACGGAAATATGATGTTGATTATAAAATTTTAATAACAGGTCTATGTTTGATCCTAATCACTTCAATACTTCAAGTTTCCATATTAGTCTCTGATGCCTCTCCAACTTTGGCAACAATCTCCTTGCGTTTGGTTGGATTATTATCATATTCAAGGCCTTCCAGGTCTATGACTGGAATTCTGAGCTGGGTTTTGGTGGGTTCTGAATCACAAGTGCTGTTGATGGGATACTGATCTACTGGTAGATGAAAAATTCTAGGAACCACAGTGATCCCAGAATCAACAAGGCCTTTAACACCTTCCTTGGTGTCATCAAAAGCTTTTAGTTCACTTTTTCTGTCATAATTGGTTGGAACCTCATTTGTATTGGTACCTACCATCTTGGTTTCTGCTAAATCTTAATGTTCTAGTGGATATCAGATCAGAAGTGTATCTTTTAGCAAAGAAGATCACTTTGCAATGAGTGAAGTGGGAAGAAAACAATATTTTTGCAAAGACCATAGGCCAAGGATGATGCCAAAGTACTTTATAATATATTAGCAGAGTTGTGTTTTTCACATTAATATATTCATTTTGGGTTGACAATTCAGAGTACAGACAGATAATATTATACAATTCAACTTTCGTATAACGGAAATATGATGTTGATTATAAAATTTTAATAACAGGTCTATGTTTGATCCTAATCACTTCAATACTTCAAGTTTCCATATTCATGATTGGCAATTTGGAAAAAGCCCCAAGTCTCTGATGCCTCTCCAACTTTGGCAACAATCTCCTTGCGTTTGGTTGGATTATTATCATATTCAAGGCCTTCCAGGTCTATGACTGGAATTCTGAGCTGGGTTTTGGTGGGTTCTGAATCACAAGTGCTGTTGATGGGATACTGATCTACTGGTAGATGAAAAATTCTTGGAACCTGGGTTATCCCAGCATCAACAAGGCCCTTAACACCTTCCTTTGTGTCATCAAAAGTTTTTACTTCACTTTTTCTGTCATAATTTGCTATGCCTGGAACCTCATTTGTGCTGGTGGCTACCATTTTCGTTTGTGTCTGCAGGATGGTAGAGCTAAAGCTTATCAAACTAGATATGGATTGCCAAAGTTCAGACCATAAATGAGCGAGGTTGGAAGAAACTTCAAGCAACATATTTGCCAAGAGTCAAGACTGTGGGGCGGGTTGATGCTAATGACATTTTTGTGGTGGCCAAAGGATATACAATGCCAATTCATTATTTGGATTGGTTGGCTATCACTGAAACTAGAGGTGAGAAATTTCATGATTGAAAGAAAACTAAAGGACGTCTCATAACACATATAGCTATTTTTTTTATTTATAATACAAGCAATAATCTAAACTACGAGGGGAATGGGGATTTCTCGCACACACACACTACTAAGGTGCCATTGGGTTTGAACCTGAGAACACTAGTTAGCAAGTCAAGGCCTTCTTCCACTTAGGTAGACAATATTCACATAAAATTTCTCATGAGATAATCTGAACAAGATGCTTAGAATCCTATTCACATCAAGCTTCTCATTTGGGTAGCAGCCACCAATATGCTCTGACACATTCATTATTTGGATTGGTTGGCTATCACTGAAACTAGAGGTGAGAAATTTCATGATTGAAAGAAAACTAAAGGACGTCTCATAACACATATAGCTATTTTTTTTATTACAAGCGATAATCTAAACTACGAGGAGAATGGGGGTTTCTCACACACACTCTACTAAGGTCCCATGGGAGTTTGAACCTGAGAACACTAATCAGCAAGTCAAGGCCTTTTTCCACTTAGCTAGACCCTATTCACATGAAATTTCTCATGAGATAATCTGAACAAGATGCTTAGAATCCTATTCACATCAAGCTTCTCATTTGGGTAGCAGCCACCAATATGCTCTGACACAGGCTTCACATTTGTTCTCTTAATTTTCAGTTCTGCAGGATCAAACCTATGGGCTTTTTTTCCATGATATCTCGTACAACACGAAGAGAGGCATAAAGAGTTGTACTTCAACTCTCGCCTTTCCCCTCAAACGAATCAGAAAGAAAATAAAAAGAGTTACACGAGGATAATACATTTTGCCAACCTTTATAATTTTTACTAAAATTAGTAGGGCCCTAATTCTGTTAGTTGACTACTTTTTCAAAAAATACATTCCATCTCTTAGTTCCAACTTCTCTTCAGAAACTAGACCCGTTAAGAAACTTTGCAGCTGTTGGAGAGTTTTGTCATAAGGAGGATCGGCTATGCAGAACATCTGCAGGAATGAATGTGTTAAGAAATCTATTAAAAACAGCAACAGGACATATAACTTTCTTACCAGATATCATGTTACTTGGCAGAAACCAAATATCACGGGGAGTGTTAAAATCATCCTCACCTTGAGAGTATTATGAATTCGATCTAATGCCATGCTTCCAAAGTTTGTGAGCATCCCCAAGATAAATTTCTGCAAAGAACCAAATACCATTTGAAAAGCTGAGAACACAATGGCACCATGCATTTTTATCTGTTGACATATTTGAGATTGATACTCAATACCGGACAAAGTTAACATGGTTATTATAATTGGCAAGCTATCAATTATGTGTTTCCTTTCCCCTCCCCTTAGTGGGAAAAGAAGGGAGTTAAATTTCTACTTCATTTGATTATTTCAGCTGATCACGGGGAGTGTTAAAATCATCCTCACCTTGAGAGTATTATGAATTCGATCTAATGCCATGCTTCCAAAGTTTGTGAGCATCCCCAAGATAAATTTCTGCAAAGAACCAAATACCATTTGAAAAGCTGAGAACACAATGGCACCATGCATTTTTATCTGTTGACATATTTGAGATTGATACTCAATACCGGACAGAGTTAACATGGTTATTATAATTGGCAAGCTATCAATTATGTGTTTCACCTCAAAGACGAGTTGGTACAGGCTCACACACATCGTGCGACGACGGACCTTGCCATCACCAAACTCCAAGACTCCGTTCAATTGCTCATCAATCACTTTCGGGCTGGACACGCTGAACCTTCTTCTACCTCAGCGGTGCTCTCGTGTTCGTCTACGCCACCGCCACAAAGTGGCCTTTTGCCCACTCCACCGGTGGATCAGAAATTCAAGGCCATGCCATACGGCATGTCGCATAGCTCAATTGGGCTCTCGCTCGACACGCCCAAGGCTTAATTGGAGCCCCCTTTTTCTTTTGGGACTATGCCACCGCTCCATTATACCCAACACACAACGGGCCCTCCTCCAGTGACTACTCCGGCTCCTACCCTGCCACCCGTTCCACATGCTCAGTACACTCATACCCCTGGCTGTTTTGACAACGATGTCATCCGCCACATCAAGCCTAACGCTTCTACTTTTGATGGTCGTGGGGATCCTACGATGTTTCTTGATTGGGTTCAAGCCATGGAAGATTATTTCGCCTGGTACGACTTGACAGATGCTCATAAACTTCGCATTGGTAAGATGACGCTACAGGGAGCCGCTAGAAAATATTGGAATTCTGTGGAGGAGCAACTATACCAATTTGGACAGCCGCCTGTGACTCTATGGGACGAGATGAAATTAAAGCTTCGCGAACAATATCTTCCCACCTTTTATCGCCATCAATTATATGAACAATTATGGACCCTTTCACAAGGCAGTTCGACCGTTACTGAATTCCACGCTCGTTTTATCGAACACAAGATACGTGCGGGGATTCGTGAAGAACCCGACATCACTATGTCTCGCTTTATCCATGGTCTTCGTGACGATATCAAGTGTGAAGTCGGGCGGTTCCATCCGCATACTTTGGAAGATGCATATTGTCATGCATTGGAAGCTAAGACATATTTGTCGCCACAACATTCAGGATATTCTGGTCAACTTGCAATCGCCAACCAAACTCTTCCCACTACGGATATGCATACCGGGTTTTCAGGACCATCTAAACCGCTTGCACCACCACCTAACAAAGGACTGGCTGTTTCTACTAATGCTCGCATTGAATGTTTCCATTGCCATGCCAAAGGACATATTGCCTCTCGTTGTCCGCAGCGAACTTTAACTATCAACACTCCCGCTAGTGAGCTTTGTGAGATTGTGGAGCCTCTCGAAGGTGTCTATGATCCAGACATTTATGATTGCTGACCCTCGTCCCCTATTATTCATACTTGCAGTCGGCGTTGTTGTCATTAATTTACCTTTTGTGGTTGTTTACTCGTCGGAGTCGAGTTCTTTTCGCCGGAAGAGAATGATGCAGGACGCGTAGGACCTAAATTTATTAGTTTCCTAGATTCTCTAATTTTCCAAGTTCTAGTAGGATTTCTACTTTTCCAGATTTCCAGAGATTTCTAGTTTTAAGTTTCCTTTCCTTTTTTATTTGGGTTAGGATTTCTGTTTAAGCAAGGGATTTTTATCCTATTATGTCTAGGTTTTAGTTTGCTATAAATACCCCCATGTAGTTCTTTAAAATGGAGATTTGAATGTTGAGTAAACCTTTTCCTAGAACTCTCTGATTTCGTCCCTTCGATCTATATTTCTTCTCCTCGATCCCCGATATTCTTCTTTGTTCTACTGTTTCTGCCCTTTATCTCGTCTTTTCGATCTATATTTCTTCTCCTCGGTCTCTTATATTCTTCTATGTTCTATTGTTTAAGTGCTTAATCTAATACCTACGGGCTGTACTACATCAGTTTCCTTTCCCCTCCCCTTAGTGGGAAAAGAAGGGAGTTAAATTTCTACTTCATTTGATTATTTCAGCTATTGACAAGTTGGTAAAATGTGGAAGATAGTGTCATGAGCAGCAATTTTGTTCCCCCCTTTTGGTCTTTATAAAGAATATCCAGTATGAAAATGAATTGGTAGATCCTTCCCAAACAACTCAACCCATTGGGATGGATTTAAAAGTATACCAAGATGTGGTCAATCTCGCACACATCACATACCTCATACACATTCATTTCCTTGAGCAGTTGATCCTCCACAGAGGCTACAGGGCTCACCCCTCTTCATCAGCAACTATAAGATCCTCGATGCTTCCATTCGTACCACCATTTTTACCACTGTCAACCATACCTTCCATTAGTGTAAACACATGGTCTTCAGAGTCTGCCCCAAATGATTCTGCAAGAATTCCCTTCAATAGGGAAAAAGAGGCAAAACATATGAGTTTTCCTCTTGACTTCCAAAGCTTAAAACTTCAATAAATAACAAGAATCCATTTGAAAAAAATTTAGCTGGTGGGGAACGTTTGACTTTACAATAAAATGACACATCATATCATTCAACTCGAAATTCAAAATGATTAAAGGTAACTAAGAAAAAAAATCTGCAATCAGTAAAAGTAACCACTGCTGCTGAGAAATCCAGAGTTTCTAATACTCTTTATTCTGTCACCAAGACAGATGACTCAAAACCGGGGTTCTTCAAAAGTGTGCTAGGGTTTGTGTTCAAAGACAACAAGTAAATCTGACACATGAAAGTATTAGTCTATCAAGCATACCTTGCTTATCCAGAAATTTATCCTGCGATTAAGTATGTCTGTTGGAACGCCAATTGCAGCTGCAAGATTCTCAGAGGTCCAGCTGAAAGTATAAGATATCAGTATGGCAAGAAAATAGTAAACAACATAAAATGCATTAAGATATTTCTGATGCTACCTTGTCTGATTTTGAAATTGCATTATAATTGCTGCATGCACAGAAGCAACCACAAATTCCACTGCTCTATCTTCAAATTGCAACTCCAACTAAAACAGCACCAACCATCATAAGTATTGTTAATGTCAATTCAGTGATTCAGGAAATATGGAAAATCGAAGCAAGTCAAAACTCTCCTAATAGAAAGGCATGAAATGACAGTGTAAGCATCTTACCTTGACTGTATCAAGACTTTTATTCCATAATAGTTTATGAGGGGTCTTGATTTCATTAAACCTCTTTGCATAATCAGATAGTAGTTGGTAACAGGTCCAGGTACATTAAGGGACTCATCCTGAAATTTGGTTTAAAGGTTAATCAACGTTTACTGAAATTTTGTTACAAATAGAAAATGTAGTTCTAATGACAAGGTTCTTGCAAGTCAATTTAGAATGAGTCAAACATAAGTTGCCTAGATAATCATGCAGAGAATATATCACCAATTGACTAATAACTTTGGTGAAAGAAACAGTGGGCGAGGAAAATGCTGAAGTTAAGTGAATCAATAGAATAGGCGGGAAATTTTAATAGAATTAAATTAAATTAAAATGCTTGCAAGAAATCATAACTAATGGGGGCCTCGAGGAGCATTAAGCTATTAAAGCCGCTCCTAAATGCAGAAGAAACAACCAAAGTGCAAGCGATTATGTTTAAACATAATCATGTTCATATGCATGGTATCACTGATTGCAGAGAAGTGTGCCAAGGAGATATTTCAAATTATGAGAATGTATATCCTCGATCCGTCTTTTCCCTCTAACAGAAATTTCGAAATAAATGACATTACCACTGGCAACAATTCATTACCTGAATTTGGGGCCTGAAATTTGAAGAGATGATTGTTGCATCAAAAACATCCATGGAAACCCCGTTATCGCCCAGCTCAGAACCTAAGACATCCACCCCACGTTAGTGGAATAAAATAAAATAATTAGTCTTCTCGTAATGCTGGAGATAATTGTAGGGAAGACGTAAAGTTTGGAAGCTACCTGCTTGAGATGTCTGAGTTATGGTCGCTTTAATATTGCCGTTAGTCCTCTTAGAATCAATAAGATCATTCAGCATAATTTCACATTTCTGCATGCTGCTCTCTCCAAAATGTATCTGAAGAATGATTACAAACTATGAACATTAAGATAGACAGTTTGAAGACTACATGAACAACCAATACACCCAACTAAACAAAGAAACCGCAAGCTTAAATAAAAAAAAACCACTTGCCTTGAGGAGTTCGAGAGTGCGTATCTCTGTATCGATGTCATAGTCAGATTTGTTGAGAAGCTTTTCAGCCAGCATAACACGGTATTCATAAACTCCATCATGAAGATTAGAAATTCGATTTCCTCGTTAATTTCAATATGGAGGAAATTACCCAAAAAAAAAAAAAAAAATTGAATCTCTGGAGTTTCTGTGGAAAAAATTGAATTTGAAGAGCTTATGCTCGTAGATCGTGAAGAAGCGCAGGTCGTATATCGTGAAGAAGCTTACGCTCGTAGATCATTTCGAAGAGGCTAAGCTCAATTCCTTCGCGTTCCACAATATGTTGTAGCTGGCTCTGCTTTTCCACAATCATCTTCTATGTGTTCGACAAAAGTTTCATGAGAGACAGGGGTTGATTTTGAAGAATAGAGACAGAGCGGGAGTAAGAGAAGAGGGATCTACATATATTTATACTTATAGAGAGAGAGAGAGAGAGAGATTTAATTTAGAGGAATGAGAGTAGATTTTGAAGAGCGGGAATGGAAGCTTGCCACGACGATGTGAATTATTGGACGTTGCAGGGTATTGCACCTCATCCAGATGAATCAGAACATTTATCGGACGTTGCTGAGCATGTACGTGATATGGAATGAAGTGAATTCATCTGAACCGAGCATTCACCATATGATGTGCTCCTTTCTGCTGAAGAGGAATCCTAAACAAACTGGGTTTTACTATCTCCAAAGTGCTGAGGGGCGTTTGATTAGGAGTGTTTAAGCCACAAATATTCGAGTGGTTAACATAAAGAGATATGGCTATACTAAAAATGATTACAAAGGAGAAGAGACTTTGGAGGAGGATCCAATATGGCAAATGACAAGGCTAAACTTTTTCTTCCTTTTCTTTTTGGGAGAGATCCTAAAGAGACCTGTCCCTTTTTTACAAGAACTCCTACTCTATTTATAGGTGGAACAAAAAATGAATTAAATTACAAGCCGACCACCTCAAGTCGGAGACAAGCCGTTTGTGTCACATCAGATCTATCAGACGATGGGTGGTCGAGGTTCATCCACATCCTTTGCTCATGATGACCTCTCTGTACTCCCACTAGGGGGCGGCGTGGGCTGAGTAGCCTATTGCGTATGGTGGCCGTCCCATCTAGTCAGATGGCGACCCGGGCAGTTTACATTTGGCTTTTGAAGGAACGTGGGCACGCTTTATGAGGTATGAATGGTCGACAGTCAAAGGAGGTCCTGTCATTGACATGGCTGGTATGTATCCTTTTAAACTTGTTGAGGGGTCCGAGGCCGAGGTTGTTTTAGTCCATTTATCCTGGCATGGTACACGAGGCCCACGTGTTGTCTTTTTATTTGGGCAGATGGGCTCGGTCTGTACCGAGCGTTAACAAGGAGTAAATCAACTTCTAATAAAGTGCGGAAGAGTCAGTGGTTTTTTGTGTCTGGTGCGTGGTAGTTTCATGTGGGAATCGAGTTGTCACCCTTTAGGGTGGTGAGGTGCTTTAGGGAACCAGGTCAGATCATGCCCTTAATTTACCTATTTTGCCTTTGTATTTCCCTTACTTCCATTTTTATGTACTAATGATGGTCTTGATCACTCTTTGCTGTTGAATATGAGAGAAATATAGAGTTGAGCGAGGACGAGCATAAGGCAATGGACCTAGTACTTTTCCTGCCCACTTAGTTGAGGTTCGCCGAGAGGTTGCTAACACCCAAGAGGCTCAAGAAAGTCAGATTGTTGACTATGTCTTCAGGTAAGTGATGTATCGTAATCGTGCGTGTGGTGTTTTCGCTTGTTTTTTTTTTTCCATATCTAACCAAATTACGTGTCGGGGATGCGACCTAATTGTAATGACCTTGAGGCTCGGCCCAGGCTAAAAGGATGGCATGTATGAAACCCATGCCCTCGTGATCGAGCAGATTTGAAGTGGTGGATTGGACCGATAAAATGGCATATGACACGCCTCTAGGTCCCAGTGATGGGTTTGACTTCCAGGCGTTCACTCAAAGGGATCAAAGTGCAGTGGCCGACCTTCCCTATCGTCGAGAGAGGGCTAAGAGGCGAGCCCAAGACCATATGGGTCAGGGTTCTGGGAAGAGGGGGAGTTGAGTCCTTTGGCGGCAATGAGTCGTGTCGTGTCAAGTTCGTAAACGTGTTAAGATTGCTCAACCCAAACTTGACCCGTTTAATAAAAGTGTCGTGTCAGGTTTGTCTGCAAAGTAGTAGCAAATAGTAACTAGCGAGGTAAAAATGTAGACAAAAAAAGAAGTAGAGAAAGAGATGACTATTCAAAGAATTTTCCATTATCACAATAATGTGAGAATTGGTTATGATGAACAAAGATACATGTGTAAATTACTAAAGACAAATAATAATAAAAAAACAAAAATCCACATCTCAAATTCACAAGGTCAGCAA